AAAGTGTATGTGATCTGCTGTATGGAAAGCGTATTTGCTCTGTAAATTTTCATCCAAATCACAATAAAAATAAATAAATAAAAAAGCAAAACAAACAAACAAACAAACAAAAAAACAGTGTCCAGGAATCACAACAAAGTGAAGTGCAATAAAGCAAGGTATGTCTACATAGGCAAGTAACGTGGTTTATTTAGATATGTAGGGAAGGAGCAAGAAATACATGTCAGAAGGATAGGGCTGGTTAGAGCCACATTAGGTAGATTCTAAAATGTCCTTCACCTATATTGGGCTAGAAGTGGAATGCTTTCAAGGAGCTCTGGTAGTATAGAGGCTGAGGCATTTTGCTATTAACCAAAAAGTTGGTGGTTAGGACCCACCAGCTGCTTCAAGGAGGAAAGATGAGACAGTCTGCTTCTGTAAAGATTTACAGCCTTGGAAATCCAATGGTGGTTGCAATGAGTAAGAATCAACTTGATCGTAATGAGTTTTTTCTTTTTTTTTCTTGGTTTGGGATGCTTTCAGGTTTTCAGATCAGGGTGGAAATATACTAAGAGAGTGAGAAACAATAAAGACAAGAGCATGTGGGTTTTGGGGTCTTCCTTGCCAGAAGGTAAATCCTGACTCTGTTATATAATTTCCCCGTGACTCTATTTCAACGTCTATCAAATGGGACTATCCACTGCTTGTAGGACCATGATGAGACATGAAAGGCACTTTGGGGAAATGTGCCTCTCTCTCAGGATCCAATCAGCTGTTTGTCTCTGGGTTTTGTTCCTTTTTTATTTTCTTCTACCCTCAACCCTAGGTCCACTGCTGCCACTGCAAAGGGTTCCTTGCCATGTCCTCACTCCAACCCTCATGCCAGCCATGTTTGTGTCTATACCCTCCTTTCCCTGGGGATAGAGAGTTGGATTGGTGATGGACAGCTGACTCAGGCTGGGCTACTCATGCTCTCGTTGGTCTGGACTGGTCCTATGGAAAGGAGAAATGTAAACCTATAGTTGGTTTGGTTGCCTTATTGGACTCTGTGCATGTGAAGAACCAAAGCAGGTTTGCAAACAGAAAGATGGAGCAATATACTCAGAAAAGCAGAGATGAGTCCCAGACAGTGCCTTGATTCTTGGTATCACTTTGCTTCCTCTTCCAGAGACCCTTGTAGGCTCAGCTGCTCTTCCTCCTTTATAAAAAACCCCAAACTACATGCACTGAGTGGTTCACACTTTAGCAACCTA